CAACTGCTCTATTCTTTATTTTGTTATTATCTGCTCTAATCTCTATTATTTCCTTCCTTCTGCTAACTTTGGGCTTTAGTTTGTTCTTCTTTTTCTCATTTCTCGATATGTAAAATTAGGTTGTTATTTGAGATCTTTCTACTTTTTAAAAAAAGTAGGCCTTTATTGATATAAACTTCCCTCTAAGCACTACTTTTTAAAATTGTTTTTAATGTTTATTTAGTTTTGAGAGAGAGAGAGAGAGCGCGCGCGCGCGCGCGCGCGCGCCTGAGTGGGGGAGGGGCAGAGAGACAGAGGGAGACACAGAATCAGAAGCAGGCTCCAGGCTCTGAGCTGTCAGCACAGAGCTGGATGTGGAGCTAGAACCCATGAACTGTGAGATCATGACCTGAGCTGAAGTCTGACACTTAACCAGTCAACTGAGCCACCCAGGCTTCCCTAAGCTGTGTTTTGGTATGCTGTGTCTTCATTTTCATTTGTCTCAAGATATTTTCTTAAAAAATATTCCAAAAGAAAGTTTTCTAATTTCCTTCTTATTTCTTCTTCATTGGTTTTTCAAGAATGTACTGTTTAATTTCTACATTTTTGTAAATATTCCAGTTTTCCTTCTGCTACTGATCTCTAGTTTCATTCCATTGTGGTCAGAAAAGATACCTGGTATGACATAAATTTTCTTAATTTGTTAGGATTTCTTTTGTCAACTAATACTTCATCTATACTAAAGAATATTTCATGTACACTTAAGAATTTATATTCTGCTACTGTTGGGTAGACAGTTCCATATATGTCTATTAGGTCCCATTGGTCTATAGGGTTGCTCAAGGGTGTTCTTTTTAAGTTGATTTGCTGTGTGGATGTTCTATTATTGAAAGTGAGATACTGCAGTCTCCTACTTTTACTGTATAGCTGTCTATGGCTTTCTCTGTTCATATCTATCAACGTTTGCTTTATATATTTAGATGCTCTGATGTGGGGTGCATATATATATATATACACATATATATACATATATTATATGTATACATACATATATGTATATATGTATATACATATATATATATACATATATATATATATTTCTGGTGAATTAATCCTTTTTATCATCATATAGTGTAAATAATGTATGACCTGTGTTTCTTGTGACAGGTTTTGACTTAACATATATTTTTCTAATATAAATATAGCCAACTATACTTAAGAGTAAATAAGACATGGGGTGCCTGGATGGCTCAAGTGGTTTAAGCATCTGACTTTGGCTCAGGTTATGATCTCACAGTTTGTGAGTTCAAGCCCTACGTCGGGCTCTGCGCTGACAGCTCAGAGCCTGGCACTTGCTTTGGATTCTCTGTCTCCCTCTTTCTCTGTCCTTCCCCTGCTCACACTGTCTCTCTGTCTCTAAAAAAAGGAATAAATGTTTTTAAAAAATTAAAAACAAGAGTAAATAAGACACGTGTATATTGTGGGTCTGTTTTTGGAACCAACAAAAAAAAATAGAGATTCCACTCTTAAGGCGCCACTGCTATGTGGTGGAGAGAAGAATGTTCTTTTGAACAATTGTGGATCAATTATATATCTATATGGGAAAAATAAACTTTTATCACTACCTCACACACAAAACAAGAATTAATGGATCACTGAATAGAAAGTGTTGATATTAAGCAGTGAAAGTTTTCTTTTTCTTTCATCTTCAACATTATGTTATTATATTTCTATTTTCACAAAAATTTTACAATCATTTTATAATTTTCCATCAAAAATAATGTCAAGATTTTTATTTTAGGATTGCATTAAATCTATAGATCAATTTGGGAAAAAATTATATCTTAAAATATTGAACACACCATGTTCCTCAATTGATTTAGGTCTTCTTAAAATTCTCAGCAATATTTCGTATTTCAAGTATAAATCTCTTTCATATTCTCACTGAATACATTCCCATGTATGTCTGTCTCTGTATCTGTCTGTCTGTCTCTCTCTCTCACATACACACATACACAAAGTATATATAGTTGCATTTTTCAATTTTAATTTTCTCATTGTTTGTTGCTTGTGTATGTATAAAGTTAAAGTTGATTTTATATTGGGGTGCCTGGGTGGCTCAGTCAAGTTGAACATACGACTTTGACTCAGGTCAAGATCTCACTGTTCGTTGGTTCGAGCCCCACATCGGGCTTGCAGATGTCAGCCTGTCAGCATGGAGTCCACTTCAGATCCTCTGTCCCCCCCTACACACTGGTTATAGAAATTACTTAAAAATAAAATCTTGGGGTGCCTGGTCGGTTTAGCAGCCCACTTCAGTTCAGGTCATGATCTCGGGCTTTATGAGGTCAATCCCTGCATTGGGCCCTGTGCTGACAGCTCAGAGCCTGGAGCTTGCTTCACATTCTGTGTTTCTCTCTCTGCCCTCCCCTACTTGTGGGCTCTCTGTCTCTCTCTCTCTCAAATAAATAAATAAATAAATAAACAAACAAACATTAAAAAAACTGATTATATATTGGCCTTGTATACAGGCACCTTAAATTCATTTATTAATTCTAATTTGTTTGTAATTTCTTAGACTTTTCTATGTACACAGTCATATTATCTACAAACAATGACATTATTCATTCTTTATTTCCAATCTTTCTACTTTTTTTTCTTACCTTATTTTCCTGGCTAGGATCACCCATACAATGTTGAAAAAGAATACAATTGTGAAATATGTTCCTGATCTCAGGGGTAAACATTCACAATTTCAGCATTAACTGGAATGTTTGCTGTATATTTTCTTGTTTCAAATTTCCTTTACCAAATTGCAATAGCCTCCTTCTATCACTGGTTAAGTGGGCATTTTATAGTGAAAGGCTATTTTTTTCTTCACCTATAGAAATGATCACATAATTGTTCTCTTCTATCAATATGGTAAATTATATTATATTGGCTTTCTAATTTTAAATGAACTTATCATTATTAGTTCACCCTTCCCCTCCATGGCTATTTATCTTTTACAATGCTAACTAGATTTACTTGGAAATGTTTTATTTAAAATTGCTGCATCTTTAATCAGAAAGTGATTTATAATTTTCCTTTCTAGTAGAGCTTTTGTCAAGTTTTGGTATTAAAGTTAGTCTGGCCACATGGAGAAACGTGGGATATGCTTCTTTTTATATTCTCCAGATGACTAGTGTAAGACAGGTATTACTTCTTTTTTAAATATTTGAAAGATATAATGGTTTGAATTACTTTCCCATGTCTTCATTCTTTTTCTGGTATATGTCTATTCATCCATGCTCTTTGCCATGTGGCCTTTTAGTATCTCCTATTAGAGTGGGTGGAGTATATCACACACATCCCCTCATTGAGTTTGGTATTGTGACTTGTTTGGCCAATGCAATATAAGATAACGTGATTAAGGAAGTGCTGGCTTAATTTATCTTGGCTTTTTTGTTCCTGTTGCATGCCATGAAAACAATATGCCCAAGTATCAACTTTGTGAGAAAGTTTTAAGTGACAGTTTCCAGATATTTAATGGGAAAGACTTATTCATATTTGCATTTTTTTCTCTATTCTACTTTGGGAAAGATATGTTTTTGGAAAGTACATATATTTCATCTAAAAATTTAAATTTATTGATTTTAACTTATCACTATTATTATCTTTTTTTCTAATGTCCAAAAGATTTTAAAAATATGCAATTTTATTACCTGACATTGGTATTTTATAACCTTTCTCTTTTTATTTTGAGCCACTGACTAATTTTTTTTCTATTTTCATATGCTTCAACAGATACATTTACAAACACTTGTCTTAATGAAAGAAAATGTTAGGTAAAGGACGTATTATACACATTCCAATGAGTTAAGCATATAGTCATTCTCATATCCTCCTACACATAAACTTACATTACACGTATATTTTAATGAAGAAGATGTTACTTGAAAGAAGGTTTATACACAGTGTAGTTTCAGTTAGTTATATGCATTACTATTTTTAAGAATCCGCCTCTCTCTTTGCTCATTTTTTGTTATTTTTCTATTTATTTTCCTTTTCATTTATTTCTGCTCTTTCCTTAATTATTTGTTTCCATCCAGTCTTTGAGTGCAATTATTTCTTCTTTTTCTCTTTTTGATAGAGATTATCATGAAATAAACCACATTTGATTGTTCTCTGTCCTGTAATATGTATTTCATTGTGATTAAAAGGATTAAAGTATAGTATTACCTAGAAAGCAATGATATGCCTAATTTTTGTAGAACCTAAAACAGTCAGTCTTGACAATAGGATTAGGAAGGTGACTGTCCATACTTAATAGAGTTTCTTTTAAAATTAGGAATTCCCTCAATTCAGACATGTATCTCAATATTTGTTACACAAATATCATAGCATGCAACTGTGTACTACAAGGATGAAGACAGAATTTGAAAAATAATCTGGGATGCTATATAAAATATTGTCTCCTTTTATATTCTATCCATCATACGGTATGGGAAATTTTTATATACCAATAACAAAGGAGGAATATATAATTTTACAAAATATTCTGTTTGATTACTCCATAGTCTCATCTCTAAATTTACTTTCCCAGATGAATTAAGACAGTAAAATGAATGAAAATGTCAAGTCTTTATCTTACTAGCAGTTATTTTTTTCTAAGATAATAGTGTAACCACAAGCACATATGATATCCCTTATAATATCAGTGTTCTTTACATGTGGCAGTAAAATGTCATTAAGATATAAGTGCTCTTTACCAATGCTCAAAAAAAAAAAAATCCCAAAAATTATGTGCTTACTGATGCTTGTGAGTGTACACAAAAATCACTCCTTTAGGGTAGGTTGGTAAAGAGAGGTTGAGATATCATGAAAGCAAGCTTTGTTTTTTTCGTATTATAAATGCTAACAGTGAGAAACATAAAGGATCTTATGAACAAATATTTTGGTTTCAAATTAATAATTTTGAAGTGCTCTTAAACAATGATCAAAACATACAATGCACAATGGTTAATCGCGTTGTTCTGTATTCACCTTTCACTGGGGGATAATTTGCTGTTACTGCTGCTTTCTTCTGACACAGATCTATAAAATTGACAAAGTTTATTTTAAGTGGGAAAATTTTTAAATCTCGAACAACTAAGTGACTATTTTTCAAAGAAAAGTTAAATGTCTCTTTCCAACAAAATAAAACAGGTACAATTCTTTTTTTGTCTTTCTTGAATTACATTAACATACTCTGAGTGTTATATTACCTTCAGGTGTATGGTATAATGATTCAACAATCATTTTACTCAGTGTCCATCGAGGTAAGTGTAGTCTTAATCCCCTTCACCTATTTCATCCATTCCCTCAACCCACCTCCTATCTGGCAACCAGTTTGTTCTCTATATGTATGAGTCTGCTTTTTGTTTGTCTTTTTTTTTTTTGTTTGTTTGTTCCTTTGTTTCATTTCTTAAATTCTGCATATGAGTGAAATCATATTTGTCTTTCTCCGACTGATTTCACTTAGCATAATACACTCTAGTTCCATCCATGTTGTTATAAATGGCAAGATTTCGTTATTTTTTATAGTTGAGTAATATTCCATTGTGTATATCTACCACATCTTCTGTATGCATTCATCTATAGATGGATGCTTAATATTAGAACAAATGCCATCAGCCACCTTGCTTTGTTGATTAACTCCTCTCACCTTACTTTTACATTTATTGAATTATTTATAAGCCCACATACGTACAGACAGGCCCTTTGCTTCTATGATACTCCTAACTCCTCTGGTCAAATTAAGCTAAAGCCTTAAAGTAGCAGTCAAAAATTTCAGTTAATTTTTCTATATATTCCTATTTTTTTCTTCCTTTCATAACATATACTCATGTCTTCTCTTTCTACCAATTCCTGGAAGTTAAAACTAGAGGTAAATCGCTCTGTGGAAAAACATAGTAAATTGTGAATAAGGGGCTTAATAATTATGACTAAATATTTGTGTAACAGATTACAGATAATGTGGTGATTTCACTTATTAGTTTTGTATACCCAAAAGTTTATTATACTTTTGAAAATAATAAGGAAAGCTTATTATCTCACATTGTATAGAGTTATAGAGAATAATATTTTTTATTATGAAATTTATTGTCAGATTGGTTTCCATACAACACCCAGTGCTCATCCCACAGGTGTCTTCAATACCCATCACCCACTCACCCCTCCCTCCCACCCCCCATAAACCCTCAGTTTGTTCTCAGTTTTTAGGAGTCTCTTATGTTTTGGTTCCCTCCCTCTCTAACCATTTTTTTTCTTCCCCTCCCCCATAGTCTTCTGTTAAGTTTCTCAGGATCCACATAAGAGTAAAAACATATGGAATCTGTCCTTCTTATAGAGAATAATTTTAAGAACATAGAGATTAAATCACTTGCTCAAGGTGCCATAGTTTCTGCATGCAAGATTTAGGCATTAAAAATAGGTTTTCTGAAGCTAAAATGTAATTTTTTCCCATTTCATGATGCTGCCTTCTGTGTCCTAACCTGTGTTATAAACTGCACATGTAATTTCTGGTTAAGAAATGTTTTTATAAATTAGCAGCATCAATACTTAGGAAAATAAATATTACGGAAGCAGGTTCATAAATACTATTTTCAGCTGAGAGAGCCATTCTAATAAAGTCATTTGTCACTGGTCTGAGTAGCTGTATCTAAAAAATTCCTTGAGATGCAGTATTACATATTCTCATGAAGCCCGAAGACAATAAGACTATATAGACAGAACTGGTAGACTAAGAGGCTGAACAGACCTCCACAATACTCTTGGCAGCTATAGCTCCTCTGAAAGTGATACTAGTGGTAAAATGAATGGTTATGGTAAGGAGTAAAACTAAGAAACAACAAAAAAAAGGAGGACATCAGACAGATTTGAAATATTTCCCTGGGCCTCGCCTCATATTGTTCTACCTCCTGTCTTAGATTATCCCTGATCAAACAGGAATACTTTTTTCTTGACTCATTGAATTTAGTAAGAGTAAACAAAAATATACCTGTCACTTTCAGTTTCCCCCCTGTAGCACAGCTCTCTTATTTTATTCTGCTTTATTACAACAGCAGCAGTGATGATGAGCAGAGGTAGAGAAATGTAGAAAATGAGTTCAAATCGGTGTTTTGAAGGAGTGGTAGATCGTCCCCCCAAATCACTTTTACCTATAATGGAAAGTTATAGGTAATTTCATATTATACTCATAATTTCAAATTATATTAGAAATTTTATTAACCAAATGAAAATGTGTAGAGGATATCATTACCTACATTATTCCCAAACAGTAAACATTTCACTCATATTTTATGAATATATTACAATATTAAACTAACATACAAACTATTAAAACTAACATAAAATATGAATTAAACTAACTTATAAATTAACATTTAAACTAACATATAAAATATAAAATGGGCTGCTACTAGTGCTTTATTGCTCAGGAATTTTCAACCTTACACCCTATAGTAGATTTATAGTATAGATTTATTTGATTGAAGGTAATCTTCCTTCATGAAGTATACGTTTAATGCTTGCAACCATTTCTTCAACTTCTTTCTGATATAGCTTATCCAAAATTCAAACATGTATATCATAGAGAGTATTGGGATTGTACCTATACATGAGAACTAAATCTGGGAAATGTGGCATTTAATTTCTCTTACATTATATATTTTTTCTAAATATTAAAAATTAGTACTCACTAAATAACTAAATTATTTAACTAAGTTCTTATTTTTTTACTGTCCTACATTGTTTATTAGGTAAGAATTTTACAAGCATTATTTATATTAGTGGTAACAGCAGAACTGAAGAGTGTTGCATCTTCTCCATGCCGCTTGGGGAGAACCACCGATAGTGTGCCCTTTCCAAGGCCACTGCTCTCGTGGTCTGCAGATGTCAGCCTTCCCATCTCCCTGTGCCTGTGGACTGGTTTGGTGATCCCCTGGGTGTAGGGGTTTCTTCTAATAGCTTTTTGGAATGGATCAATGAGGATAATCTCAAAGAATTTGTATGTGGAATCTTCGCCAACCCAGTAAGAATTCAAGACTCTTAGAACCCCACAGTAGCATCTAGCTCACTCCTCTGCAACAGATTGAAGGTTTTGGGAAAATTTTAGCTGATTAACACCATGATGGACAGGCTTGCCATAGGTAGCACTCTCGGGGACTGGGCATTTATGGCCACCATGTCGCACACGAATCTGATGTATGACATAACCTTGCTTGGCCTTGTACTCCCAGTCTGTGGGCTTTAAGGGCTTTATCAGCTAGGGGGGCTGGAAAGGGGGCTGTGGAGAGCAGAGAGCTGGCGATAGTGCCAGCAACACACCCCGAGAAGAAAGCGCATTACATGGGACTGCTTCTTCTTCCATAGCTCCTGGATGTACTTGTAATCGCCCATCTTGGCTTACCTTTGAGCTGAGAGCTGCCACCAGACAGAAAGAAAAAAGTCTTTCTCCTCTTAAGTAAGTTTTTAATCAAATATATAGCCATAGGAAATTAAGATGGCTCTAGAATTATTTTGTAGAATGCATGGCCAAACTTGACTTTGACCCATTTTTGACTGATGTTAATATCTACATTTTCCCCATCAGTTCTTATTCATTCTCAGCTGACATCTGTATTCATTCCTGAGCATCTGACCTATATGGGTACTCAACTTCCACCTTATTGTATATACCAGCCACCGATCTGGGTTTATAATGTTATCAAGCTCTGCTTTCTCCAAAATTTATTGGCAAGTTTTGGTTTTTTTTTAATTTGGTATAGAATACTGTTCTCTGCTAGTTCAAACAATGGAGGATCTGATAAGTAGAGGAGCCACCCCCCAGCTACAGTTGTGCATGGTCAGGGCTTAATATACTCCTCTGAAGACTGCCCCAGTGCTTCTCTTTTAGTTTCTGTAGCATTTTTCAAGTCAGTTCAAGCTAGGAGCAACACTTTTCCAGTCTACTTTGTGCTTGTGATTGGGGTTTCCAATACCTCTGGAAAGAGGATGACATTATATTTGTGATCAGAAAGCCAGTGAATCAGATGAAGAGGGCATCCTCTCTGGCCAAATACTGCAGATTGATTCTCAGCCAGTTTTATAGTCTTTTGGATGATCAATGATGCCACATGGGTTATTCGAAAAGGAATGTAATATATGCCCAGAAAGCCTCAGAACATGAGTAGGATTTCTAGAAACCCAAAAAACTGGTCTTACATCTTTACCTCCTATTGTCTAGTTTTAACAGACACTACTAGTAACCACCATGAAAGAATATTTATTCATTTATTTACTCTGGGTCTCCATTTTACATTGGTTAAGATTAGTCCCCAGTAATCTTCCCTCAAGCTTCTTTTACTTAATTCCAAAGATGTAGTGAATTTTTCAGGCATTTAACTATTAATGGTGTTTCACCTCCTCCCTTTTATTACCCCAAATGTCTTAGCCTTTATGGCTCAAGAGTTTGTTAAATCAGACTCCCTAAAACAGAGGTCTTACCCTTGCCAAACTTTATAGCAAACATCAGGTACAGAAAAAAGGTGTTTTTGTTTTGTTTTGTTTTGTTTTTCATGAAAGAGCTTGAATCCATCAGCTGCAACTCCTAAAAGTTTCCCTTCTTTTCCTTTTTCCCCTACATTCAGAATGATTTCAGAAAAAAACAGATGAGAGCTTTGAGTAAAGTAGTCATGAATGGCACTGTTAATTATGCAGCTTACATGATTACCCAGTTTCTCCAACTGGCTATTCTGCCATAAATAGATAGATTCCAGGTTTATTTAGAATAATCAGGGATGCCTGGGTGGCTCAGTAAATTGAGTGTCCGACTTCAGCTCAGGTCATGATCTCATGCTTTGAGAGTTCAAGCCCTGCATCAGGCACTCTGCTATTAGTATGGAGCCCACTTCAGATCCTCTTTCCCCCCCCTTCCCCTCTGCCACTCACTCTGTCTCTCTCAAAATTAATTAATTAATTAATTAAAAAAAAAAAGAAGAATCTATGTATACAGATAAGTACACCCTACCAAAAAAATTTTATAGCGAGGGGCTCCTAGTATCTTCCAATCAGCAAATACTATTGTTAGTGTGTGTGCTGGTTAATTTTATGTGTCCAACTTGACTAGGCCACAACATGCTCAGATATTTGGTCAAATATTATCCTGGGTGTTTCTGTGAGTGTGAATTGGAATAAGATTAACATTTAAACCAGTAGACTAAGTAAAGCTGATAGCTTTCTTTAATGTGAGTAAGCCTCATCCAATCAGCTGGAGGCCTTAATAAAACAAAAAACACTGATTCATCCATGAATAAGAAAGGATTCTTCCTGCATGAGGAGCTTTCATAGTAGACATACAGGCCCCAGAATATAAGGGATTAAGACAGACCTTATGGCAGCTGACCAAAGGAAACTAGTTGGATTAAAAGGTTTCCTCTGATCCCAGGTTCAAGTGCCACCATTCTACTGCCATTTGGACCCAGAGTGATATAGGGAAAGCAACCATAAACATTTGCCTGGGACCATCAAAGTTGTCATATGGGAAGTCTCAAATACCAAATAATCCAATACTGAGATGCAAAATTTTCTGAGTTATGAAAACTGGTTTGGAAGGTTGAAGTTAAAGAACAAAATCCATTTGGAAGTTAAAAAAAACAGGAACTGGGGCGCCTGGGTGGCGCAGTCGGTTAAGCTCCGACTTCAGCCAGGTCACGATCTCGCCGTCCGTGAGTTCGAGCCCCACGTCGGGCTCTGGGCTGATGGCTCAGAGCCTGGAGCCTGTTTCCGATTCTGTGTCTCCCTCTCTCTCTGCCCCTCGCCCGTTCATGCTCTGTCTCTCTCTGTCCCAAAAATAAGTAAAACGTTGAAAAAAAAAATTAAAAAAAAAAAAAAAAAAAAAACAGGAACTAAAAGCAACGTTGTTTTGGGGTCAAATGAGTAAGCATAAATTATCCGCCTTCTATGGTTGCTGTTTTTAACTCTGACTGCAGATGTTGACAATTGTAATTTGTGGTTCATTTTTTTTAACGTTTATTCATTTTTTGAGAGACAGAGATAGAGCATGAGCGGCGGAGGGGCAGAGAGAGAGAGGGAGACACAGAATCCGAAGCAGGCTCCAGGCTCTAAGCTGTCAGCACAGAGCCTGACGCGGGGCTCGAACTCACAGACTGTGAAATCATGACCTGAGCCGAAGTCGGACACTTAAGTGACTGAGCCGCCTAGGCACCCCTAATTTGTGGTTCATTTTGAGTGATGCGACTTAAGTGTGCAGCCTAAGGGTATTGAAATCATTAACAGTCCATCTTTGACTTAGTCTTTGGATTAACTGTTGTGCTTTGTGTCAAGAGAGTGCTAATATAATTTTTCTTATTGTCAATATTATAATCATGTTTTCTAAGAGCTCAGATGATGATAATCAGAATCATTACAATACTAACACCAGCATGACCCGGACATCACTGAACATGAAAACTAAATGACTATTTTTTTTTTAAGTTTGTTTATTTTGAGAGAGATAGCACACGAGTGGAGGGGGGGCAGAGAGATAGGGGCAGAGAGAGAGAGAGAGAGAGAATCCCAAGTAGGCTCTGCACTGTCAGCACAAAGCCTGACATGGGGCTCAAACCCATGAACTGTGAGATCATGACCTGAGCCCAGCTCAAGAGCCAGACTGGGTGACCTTCACCCAGTCATGAGGTGACCCTACATGACTATTTTTAATATCACTGGATTGAAAATATAAATAACCAAACAGAGCATATTACACAATATGACAAAAATAATTTGGATGCAGAAATAAACCCACACATATATGGTCAATTATTTTATGACAAAGGAGCCAAGAATATAAAATGGGGAAAGGACAGTCTCTTAAATTAATGGTATTGGGGAAACTGGTTATCCACATGCTAAAGAATGAAATTGGACTATTCTACATAATATACAAATATTAACTCAAAATGTTTTAAAGACTTGAATGTAGGGGCGCCTGGGTGGCGCAGTCGGTTAAGCGTCCGACTTCAGCCAGGTCACGATCTCGCGGTCCGGGAGTTCGAGCCCCGCGTCGGGCTCTGGGCTGATGGCTCAGAGCCTGGAGCCTGTTTCCGATTCTGTGTCTCCCTCTCTCTGCCCCTCCCCCGTTCATGCTCTGTCTCTCTCTGTCCCAAAAATAAATAAACGTTGAAAAAAAAATTAAAAAAAAAAAAAAAAAAAAAAAGACTTGAATGTACTTGAAACCATAAAACTCCTAGAATAAAACAGGTAGTAAGCTCCTTGATATTGATTTGGTGATAATTTTTTGAAATCTGACATCAAAAGTAAAAACAACAAAAGCAAAAATAAACAAGCGGGACTACATCAAACTAAAAAGCTGCACAGCAATGGAAACCATCAACAAAATTAAAAGGCAACCCATTGAATGAGAGAAAATATTTGCCAATAATATATCTAATAAGGGGTTAATATCCAAAATATATTAAGAATTCATCCAACTCACCAGCAAAAAAAAAAAAAAATCTGATTTTTAAATGGGCACAAGACATGAATAGAAATTTTTCCAAAGAAAACATTCAAATGGCTAACATACATGAAAAGATGCTCAACATCACTAATCAAGAGGGAAATACCATTGAAAACCATAAGGAGATATCACCTCACATGTTTTAAAAAAATTAAATAGAATTACCATATGATCCAGCAATTTCACTTCTGGGTACATAGCCAAAGAAAATGAAAACACTAACTCAAAACTATATATGCACTTCCATGTTCACTGCAGCATTATTTATAATAGCCAAGATATGGACACAACTTAAATGTCTATCAATGAATAAATGGATAAAAAATGGGGTTATATATATATAATGGAATATTATTCAGCCATAAAAAGAATGAAGACTTACCATGTGTAACAACATGGATAGACCTCAAGGTCATTATGCTAAGTGAAATCAGTCAGACAGAAAGACAGTACATTTGTATGATCTCATTTATATGTAAAAAAAAATATATATAAGCTCATAGATACAGAGAACAGATTGATGGTTGCCAGAGGTGTGGGAGTGGCAGTAAATGAAATGGATGAAGAGGGTCAAAGGTACAAACTTCCAGTTATAAAATAAATAAATCCTAGGAGTGTAATGTATAGCATTGTAACTATGGTAAGTCATACTGTATTGCATATTTGAAAGTTTCTAACAGAATAGACCTTAAAAGTTCTCATCACAAAAAAAAAAACCTACAACTCTGTATGTGATGGATGCTAACTAGACTTATAGCAATCATTTCACAATATATACAAATATTGAATCATACTGTACACCTGAAACTAATATAATGCTATATGTCAATTATATCTCAATAAAAAAGGAATATGCAATAGGTATGTGAAAGCACATTTGAAGGTTGAATCTCAAATTTCTTGGATGAAATAAGCAAGTATGTCTAAATCAACTCCACTTTTTGTTTCCCAAATAAAAACAAACAAAAAACTTTTCTCTCCCCAAAAGACACCAAAGTCCCGACAAAAATAACCAGCAAATTAGCTTGAGCACACTATAGGAACAAACATGCACTGCCCTATCACTCATTCCCCTACCAAACCAAATGAAGTTACATTTCCTGATTCACTGATTACACTAAAATTTCCGGTGGGAGAAAAATGTGAAAATTTTGATAACATCTGTTGGCCCCTTAAGTGTAGCAAGGATTCTGTCCTACCAAGTGAGTATGATAGCAAAGTATTTCTCCAGCTCTGACGTAATTTGATTTCAAAAATGAAGTTTAAAAAAAGTTTCTTAATTTCTATGCAAATTTTAATGAAATTATAGATAAGATAAAGCAAAAATTTTGTTATCTTGCTCAAACCTAAACTAGACTTTGCTCATCTGTATGCATACTTAGCAGGCAGTGCAAATGTAAACTTCTGCAAGTCCCATCCAGTCTATAAACTTCTTATCAAAGACAAGGAAAAGATCCTACCTGCTAAATATCCTACACACCTTGGACACAATGCTGAATGGAGTGAGATATGTTTACCTGTAATATAGAGGCTTTCATCATGAAAGCTTTTGGTCACTTTTGTTTCCTCAAAGTGTGTAGAAGCTCATAATGGGATTTTTTAAACTTTATGAAATGGAAGGTGATGCTTCTTCAGAAGTGGACACGCACAAGATTGCTCTTAGTGTTACCGGCTATAGAAAATGTGTTGAAAATACTGGCCTGACATAACACCTTTTTCTTAAAACACTGGACAAGAAGAATGTATTTCTATAATTTTTCAATACATTGAGGATTCAAATAGAAAGAAAGGTTGCAGTAAAAACAGAAATTGACAAACTGTTTCTCTGAAACAATTTGATAATATGTGAATCCTAGGGGCAAAAATTTCACATAGGCTGTGACATCAACTCATACAATGAAATAATGGAAATAAGGCTGTTTAAGAATTCAAAAAATGTAACTAGAAAAAGGCAAGAAGTTAAACAGGACCTTCTCAGGTCCCAATTAAAATTGTAATTTATTTGTAATTAAACTTAAATTTCACAAACTCAAATTACTTCTATGCTTTAAATCATGTTCTCTAAGAAAAAAAAATTTTACTTATGACATCCAATGTGCTTTGCACTGTTTAAAAATGATGAGAATTTTTGAAACGGGTAGCCTGTATGATGAATTTAAATATGCAAAGGAACTGATTCATAAGTACCTGGTCTACCAGAAGACACCTGTAGAAACAAAGCTAATGAAAGTTTTTGGAGACCTGAAAACTAATTTCTACAATTATAAAAACCTACTGTGTCTAGCAAATAAAGCCCAAAGTATGCCATGTTCAAATACATTTGTTGAAAAGATCCCTGGCTGAAGCCATCACAATGGACAGACACCTGAATTTATTAAGTGGCTTGATAAAGCAGAGCTTCAAGTCAAAAGGAATTATATATTTGGCTCTATTCCATTTTGCTGCTGCTTAAAAGAAAGGATGTCTGAAAGTCTGCAAGCAATTCAGAGAAGGATAATTGGACAATTAAATGGAAAGGGTCAAAATTATACCTGACCATATCATAGGACAAAAAGAATCATGTCATTGTTATTTTTTGTTAAATATAGAGCATATATTTAATCCTATTATATTTATACTGTCCTTTTGAAAAGTCTTACATTTATGAATCTTAATAATATACAACAGAATAGCCTACAAAATTTAAATATCCAGTAAAGACCTTTTAAAAAGAGGTAAACATCAATTGCTATATTAAACAATATATTATAAAATATTATCCTTATTAAATATTGTTATATTTTTGCTCACATATATTATTCGCTTAATCTGTTGTACTGTAAACTATTATCAATTGACACTGGTAATGAGCTCTATTAGTGTTTTGCTTAAATAAGAGCATTTATGTAACAAAACAATCAATAACACAGAATAATATAATTTTAAATAAACATCTATTTTATACATATTTATGTGAAAATAAATAAATATGTAAAAATAAATATATATATACTTATATGTTGCATGTTAAATTATTATTCCCTTTTTTTGGGGGGGTTCTAAAACACAGTCTAATATGGCTGTGTGTTAACTCTGTAAAAAGTTGGTCACCCTAGGTTTGCCTTTCCCCTAGTATCCAAGCTTCATGTAAATCTGCCAAGGAATTTCATTATTTTCCCCAAAAGGAAAGGGGTAAGGACGGCTAGCCTCTGATTCCAGGTTATTCTAGGTGGGCTCCAATATCTTCTAAAACCAGGAACTATCCCCCAGATATACCCAGGCCTGCCTAGATCTGCTTAAACTCAAAATACTACTCAGAAAACTCAGGGAAGAGATTCTAGAGAGGATATTTCTAAAGATTAGATGAGAGCCCTTACAATGCAGCAGAAAGGAATAAAAGATAGCTTGAAAAATTCTGGTGGCATTAATATAACAACTACTAACAAACACTATTTTAAACCAGAATTGTATAAGACAACCCTAAGTGAACAATCTAAATTAGTCAAATTTTATGCACTGAAATTTCTACTTTTAAATTGTCTAACATTTAATTGGGTGTACTTTTTGTTAGTAAACCACATCAATATTAATATAAAAGTATAAAACAGGGGTGCCTGGGTGGCTCAGTCGGTTAAGCATCCAACTTAGGCTCAGCTCATGATCTCACGGCTCGTGAGTTCAAGTCCCACATTGGGCCCTGCACTGACAGGTCAGAGCCTGGAGCCTGCTTCAGATTCTGTGTTCCCCTCTCTCTCTGCCCATCCCTGCTCATGTCCTGTCTCTCTCTGTCTCTCAAAAATAAATAAATGTTAAAAAAAAAGATTAAAAAAATATAAAAGTACAGAACAAACTTCTACCGTCTTAGATTTTTAAAAATCCTACAAATAAAACAAAACCATGCTTGTTGGTATCAGTTGTTTTGCAATCTAGCTTGGAATCTATATTTTAATTTCTTCTCTTACATATTATCTTTGAATAATGAAATTTTAAAGACACTAACCAGATGGAGGTATGTGTCCATCATCTATGCTTCCAAATTCTCCCTTCTTCTCCAGGCATTCAGGAGGAGCAAACCCATTTTGACAATGGCAGTGATTCAAATTGTTGCAAATCTGGAGTAATCAGAAAATAGAACGTTTTTTTGTGGACCAAGATGGTTCAATAGAGACCAATGAATATTCTATACTTATTCAACAGAGAATTTATTTCAGAGAGTTTATCCATTCCAGAGAATTTAACTTGAATAGACAAATTCAACAATTTTCACAAATTTTCTCTTGAAATTGTTCATACTTTAGTAAGTATATTTAGCTTCTGCTGCCAAAGCATTTTTTAAAAAATTCTTCATCTCTTTCCACAACCAGACCCAAATATTGGTAATTACCGGTAACATGCCACTAATTATCATTTAGTTGATAGTTTCACAGAACAGCCCAGATTCTAACGAGCAAGACTAGTAAGAAAATTCTAATGACCTTGTTTACTAGTTTCTACCTTTATTCTGTGAAAATAAGATTATTTTGGTTGTATAATAATTCATGGTGCATATAGCACATTTGCACCATATATTTACCAAATACTTTATACATCCAGAGTCATCTTAAATGTTTCTACTTTATCTTCTCTAATAAACAGTTTGGCAAGACTTCTTGAGAAAATAAGATTGAAGTTATAAATTATAGACTATTAAATGACACCTAGCAGCATGAAAATGATTTTTAGTCATTTTAATGATTTTTTTAAAAGTCTCCAAACTGTTTACTGAAATGTTAAACATGTTGCTTAAAATGAAAATTGAAATTACTTACTCCATGGCTATTGCAATGATGAGAAGAATTGCACGTCTGATAATTTACCTGGTATTGAATTTCTACACAGTTAAAGTTGACACAGTACTGAAAGCAAAAGGAAGTGAAAATAGGCATAATAATCAGATTGTGTGCCTGGATAATACAGAAGAAAAACACAAGAAAATTTCACAACTCAAACTTTCAAGAATTGGCATAAAAATACAAAAAAAGGTAATAATTGAAACATTGAAATAAATGTGAAATAAGCTATGTGCCTTCAGATTATAAAGATGTAATCACATGTGAGAAGTTAGAAGTTTTATTTTCTTACCATCTAACACTAAAAACCCTCTTAAAAAGAGAACTATCTGGAAGAATAATTTGACTAATTCCTGGAGTTCAAGAATTATCTAAAAAGCGTTTAAAAAATACCCATGCCTGGGCTGCATCTGAGACATTTATATTGAAATTTCTGGGGGCAGGGTCCCCTCATTATTGCAAGCAGTTAAGGTTGAGAACTATGAGGTGGAAGGTTGAGATCTTAATATCATGGTATGAGCAGCAAAGGAAGACAGCTTATGATTCCATGTTAAAAAAAAAAATGAGGAGAAAGAGAACAGCAAGGATGACAGATAATTATTTGAGATAATAGGGCAATGAAAGACTCCCAACTATGAGATGGCTAAAAAGCCTTCAAAGAAAAGGAATGTTTAATTTGTGGATTTACACGGTTCTAATTTATGGCATTAATTTTTGTGACTTTTTTCATTTATCGAAAAATTTTGAGTAAATTCAGTACTTTGTGAAAGGATTTTACTTTTTGAGTAAATTTTGTCTTTGGATCATAGTAACAACCAGGTGTGCAGAAAGAGGAGGACCAGGACACTGGAAAAAAGAGATCTGAGACACTATCATTTAGAATTGAAGGGGAAAGAGACCACAGATCAAATTTGTATTCCACATGCTTCCAGATGAGCAAGATGTTACTGAAACTTTGGTTATTTTCATGGACTATTATCAAAATATATTATATAGAAATAAATTTGAATTTAGCAAGCACATCTTGAGACTTTCTCTCAAAAAATGTATGTCAGTTGGGGTGCTGGTGTGGCTCAGATGGTTAAGCATCTGACTCTTGGTTTTTGGCTCAGGTCATGATCTCACAGTTCATGAGATCGAGTCCCAAGTTAGGCTCTGCACTGACAGTGTGGAGCCTGCTTGGGATTCTCTCTCTCCCTCTCTGCCCCTCTCTCTCTCCCTCTCTCTCTCTCAAAAATAAACATTTTTTTAAAAAAATGGTAAGCTTAGAAATAAAATGGAGTAGACCTTGTCTAACTATATCCTTACCCAGATATAATGTCTGGAAGCCAAGGAACTGGATACACTAAGTGACCAGAAATGCCTCCTGCATTCTCTTTCACTCATTTAACAAACTTACTTAAAAAATTCTTGAAGAATTAGACTCACAGATATAGGATGTGGGGCTTAAGCTGGCATGAATTAGACAATTTTCAGACCACACTACGAAGCTACAGGAGGATTTACTAGAATCCTTTACATTCAGAAGCATCAGGCCACATGGAAACAAACTACTAATTCACGATCCAAGGGATACGATGTAATTATACAGGACTGAATTAAATGATGAGGAAAATTAATTGTGGTTTCTTTTATATTTTTTTACTTTTCTGATGGTACGTGAGGAAGCCCTTTTCCTTTCTACTTGTTGCATCCCTAATCCTCAATTTAGTATCTATGCTTTTATAACTAAAGCAGTTTAAAACTAGTAACTGATTCTCACTGATTCCTCAAACATCAGAAACAATATTCTTACTGTTTCTTTACTTGTCATGGCAATGCAGGCTCAAAAAAAATTAAGGACTTATGATTCCAGTCAGATTAAAATAGCAAGGTCCAGAATTACCTTTCTACCATAAAAAAGTAGAAAAATAGGTAAAGAATAGGAAACAACTATTTCTGGAGAATGGAAAACAAGCAGCACAAGACTATTATCTCAGAAAAAAGAAAGACAAATTAGGTGAGGCCTCCCACTGTCCAGGCTCTCTGCCTAAAAGGAATTTCCTGACTAAGGTATAGTGACATGACACCCAAACACAGCTTAAAAATCTAATAGACAGAGATTTGGGTAAATGAAGGCTTAGGAGGCTGGAAGCTAGTATTTGCTGGGAAGACTATTTCATAAGAGGGAATTACTGACCAAGAACAACTTCCAGAGAAAGAAAGATTATAAACATCTGTAAGATGAACAATTTCTAAAATCACAGAAGTCTGGAAATTGTCCAAGGTCCTACCAGCCCAAACATACAGACCTTGTTGAATTCACAGAACATTCAGTAGAGACCATAAAGGGCCATAACTTAGAAGTGCGGCAAATTTACTCTCTGCCCTAAAAAGAACGTAACAACAAGTCTTGAAAGGAAACTAACCTGCAAGTAATTTAAAGAAGTTCAATTATTTTTAAAGCAAGAAGTCATTCAATAATACTCAATTCATAAAATTCAGTATGTAATAAAAATATGAAGGAGGAAAATGTGGCCCATAAATAGTAGAAAAATCAAGCCAACGGAGCCCATAATTACTAATGTTAAAAGTGACGGAAATAACAGACAAGAATGTTAAAATAGCTGTTATAAACAAACTTTATAGGCTCAAGGATATAAAAAGGACCTGAACATAATGAGAAAAGCATTAGGAGATATAAAAAAAAGAGAACCAATAGGAGGCGCCTGGGTGGCTCAGTCAGTTAAGCATCTGACTTTTGCTTTTGGCTCAGGTCATGATCTCAAGGTTCCTGAGTCCAAGCCCCACTTGGGATTCTCTCTCCCTCTGTCTGTGCCCTTTGCCTGCTCACGTGTGCTCTATAAAAATAAATAAACATTTTTAAAAAGAACCAACAGAACTTCTAGAATAAAAACTACAGTATATGAAATGAAAATAATCATAGATAAAAGATTTCTGTTCCATAATATCTGTTCTAGACTTATAGAGAGTTCACATTTAGTAAGAATGTGTTCTTCCTGACAGGCCAAGGACATCAGCAGCCTTTCAGAACCTTGGGAAGAGAGACATTCACCTATATTTATAAATATTTCAAGTGAAATATGGTAGGGAAAATTTCTTGGACTTGGTTTCCTAGCCTCATAGTAAAATATCATTTTAAAGATCCAGACCAAATTCCTTCTGAATTTGTCAGACAGTAACTCTCTGGTTCTAGTTTGCTCAAAATTGTATGTTCACCTATTGATATAATCAACCCAAAACCAAGACCCATCATTTTTATGCTGAGAAATAATATTTGACATTATTAATGATCAAAATGTAATACTTTTAAGAAAATCTATTCAAACTTGGAAATAAGGCAAAGAGGGATCTGAATTCCTCATCTGAGAATTATTTCAATATGGTAGGGGCCTGAACCTTGTTTGACTTGCTTTTACTGCTGATTAGACTTTAGACTTGATACATTTATATATCATTACATGGATTCATTTGTCTGGAAAAGATGCGGGAAGTCACAAACACACAAACACACAAACACACACACACACACACACACACACACAAGAAAGGAATAACTTGGCACTGAAAAGTCATGAAGCAAAATTTATAGGAAATATAAACAATATCACAATAAATATTCAAAGAATTCATTATGATTTTGAGTCTAGAGAAGATAACATAGACCTGTTTCTGTGTGTCCTTGCTAAGTACAATTATAAAATATTATAAAATTATAAATGGCTTGGGAGACAAAAAGAAGAACTCAATGGTGGTCAGAAAAAGGGTTAGTTGGTTTGAGACCTGAACTGGAAGAACAGTAGTGTGTCTTGTGCTTCTCCCCATCTCCCCTCTGCTCCAACCCAACAGAAGTCCATCCAGATCTTGCACCTCAAACTAGTACCAGAAGGGAATCCAGGTAGGCTCATTCCTTCCCCAGATCAAATGTTATCCCCTTTGACAACATCAGAGGATATCAAGACTAACACCATCAGCTGCAAGAGGGATGCATTTAGAACCCCACCAATAGTAAATGGCCAGAGGAATCTTTCTCCTTCCACTTGGGACCTAAGACTCTCCTCTCTTCCTCCTAATAAAAGGACAGCTGGGCAAAACCAGCAAGAGGGACTTAGTCATGGCAAACAGTCCAGTTGAGAAGCTACTTTTACCCCACAGCCCCACTAACTTGAAACTCTAGAGATTCTTTCCTTCTCTAGGAAGTGCCGGGACAGGCAAGTAATATTGGAGAAGGAGCCTAAACAGAGCAAGCAGCCAAACCAGGAAAGCCATTACCATGTCTAGATGAACCAGGGTGGATGGGTACAACCAGAAGGGGAGATGCAAACATAACAAACAAATAAGCTCAGCAAGCTTTTTTGATCTTCTCAGATCTTAGTGATCTGAGAGTCCTTTCCCTACCCAGACATATAAAAGTAACTGTAGGGGTGAAAGGGATGGAGGGACCAAATGGAGGATTCTAATACACCCCTCCTCCCTGAGAGATGTGCTGTTGCTTGGCCTGGGGAAACTCCTCCTATCCCTTCAGGAAGCACCACACTTCTAAATAATTCACATGTCAAAGAAGAACTCCCAAAGGAAGTAAATAACACATAGAACTGAAAGGAAATGAAACTATAGCATATCAAAATATGTGGGGTACAGCTAAAGCAGTGCTGAGACAGAAATTTATAGCACAAGATGCTTAAATTCAAAATGAGGAAAGGCCTTAAATCAATAATTTAAGTTACTACCTCAAGAAACTGGAGAAGAGGAAAATAAACCCAAAGTAAAAGGAGAGAAAGTAAGAGCAGAAATTAATGAAACTGAAAATAGGAAAATGATGTGGAAAACCAATGAAACAAAAACATTGTTCTTTGAAAACCCATATTAAACTGATGAATATCTACCAAGACTAAGAAGTATAAAAAGAGAGAAGAACTATCACCAGTATTAGAAATTGAGTCAAGGTTATCACTACCCAATCCTTCAGACATTAAAAGAGATTATAAGAAATACCATGAACAACTTTGCAGACATAAATTCAAAAACTCAGAAGAAATGGACCAACTCCTAGAAAATCATGAATGACCAAAATTCACCAATAAGATACTGATAACATGAAGATACTTATAACAACTGACTTTGAATTCATAATTTAAAAGTTCCTTAGAAAACTCCAGACCTAGATTATTTCAGGGGAGAATTCAACCAACATTTCAAGACCAATTAATATATTTTTTAAATAATCTCTTCCAGAAAATAGAAAAGAAGGGGGTACTTCCCAAACTCATTTTATGAAGTCATATAATATATTCAGTATCAGATAAACACAGTATAAAGAAAGAAAACTAGAGACCAATATCTCTCATGAACTTAGATACAGAAATTATTCAACAAAATATTAGAAAACTAAATCCAATAATGTATAAAAAGAATTATAAACCATGAACAATTTATATCAGGTATATAAGGCTGGTTCACCATTCAAAAATCTATCAGTGTAATCCAACATATCAACAAAGTAAAGAAGAAAAATCATATGACTACATCAAAGGACAAAGAAAAAAAACATGTGACAAAAATAAAAAAAAATTAAAAACCCAAGGCACAGGATAAAAGCTCTCAGTAACTTAGCAGTAGAGGACATTAGTTCAATATGATAAAGAGCATCTACAAAAAGAAAACAAAACAAAACTGCAAATAACATCATGTTTAGTGATGCAAAGGCCTAACACTTTCCTCCCTAAGATCAGGAACAAGGCAAAGATGTCCACTTTCGTCATTTATATTCAATACTGCACTAGAAGTTTTAGCCATGGCAGTAAAGCAATAAAAAGAAATTAAAAGTATATAGAATGATGAGGAAG